TTCACTTGCCATGAAGCCTGCTACCAGATGCAGCTTGATTGTCACTTGCCACTCAAGGATAGAAGTTTTATGATTCTGCCAGGAATCACTTTATTATGATCTCTGTGCAGTCAAACCTCCCTAATGTTAATCCATATTTGCAGATGCTCCCCAGCCCGAGCATCTTTACCTCAGCTCTACTTCAGATCATTAGGTATTAGCCTCTCATAAGTATACATCTGAATCCCTCCCTCTGCGTGGGTCAAGTAGGATTCACATTCCTTGAGAATTTAATGCCACTTGCTGATGTGACAGGCAGAGCTGAGGCAATAATTTCAGCAATAGTTATATAGATGAAGCCATGCTCCCTTGCCCACTGCTCACTTCTGTTGTGAGGCTCAGTTTCTTTTCTTTCTTTTTTTTGGCAGAACCGAGGATTGAACTCAGGCTGCTTATTCTACTGAGCTATCTCCCCAGCCCAGTGAGGCCCAGTTTCTAGGAGAGTACAGACTGGTCCTGGGCCGTGGCCTGGGAGTTAAGGATCCTTGTACGCTGTGGGCACCCGAGGAGGAATCTTCTCATCTGTAGCCTGAGATGCACGTGTATTGAATATGCCCTTCATATCCCACACTTCTTCAAGAAGTCCGTTCATGAGGGTCTTTAGTTATACTGTCATGGCTGAATCAATTCAGAAGTTTTGCCTCTTGTGGTCATTTTGACTTTGGAGAACTGCCAGTAGTCACAGCATGCCAGAACCTAGTGATTGAGGTGAATGAGGACACACTGTCATGTTTTCATGAGACTGTTTCACTTTGTGGCACTTGGCAGCTGCATTCACCATGTGTTTAATCACACCATGTAAAAACACTCAGAGGACTTTGAGAACAGCTCCAGAAGGGGGGTTGATGGCATTGTGTCTTTTACTGTAATGAATTTTTGTAGTTCAAACATTCACTCTATGTTTTGATCATACCATATAGTGCAAATGTAAGGAGAAAATGCCATCAGAAACAGTGCATAGGAAATGGTCAGGGTAGAGAATAAGGGTTGAAATTTCAGATACAGTGTCCAGGATATTCAAATGCCTCTTGAGAAAGAGGCAATTTAGGAATGAACTGAAAGAAGTAAAGAAGCAAATTATAAAAATATCTATTTAAAAACTCTCTGTAGCCTCTCTTTTCACCTGAAATTAGTAACAAGGGCCCTGAAATGAGTGCATGATCATAGTTTATCAGGAGGCTGGGATGGTAGCCTGTGAAGTCCACACAACAGGGTAAGGGCAGCATGGCAGGGAACTGCTTCATGTATGAGTCAGACATTTGGGGTGGAAATAATAGCTCAGTATCACCACTGTATACGTGGAATTAGTGATGTGACTAGAGGACTCCATCAAGGAGGGCTGTAGGGTAGACAGAGAAGAAATGAATCGTTATGGCTTCAACTCTGGGGTACTCTGGCATTCAGAGGTCGAGGATCTGACATAATGAGGAAAGGAAACTGAGACTAAAGGTCCTTTGTTGGTTTTTGCACTGCTCCATGTATTGGCCCCGGTTTACCTTCTCTTTTGCCATTACATTTCCTGCTATTTATTGGTCTTAGAAATACATATTTCTCTTTCTGACTTTATTTACATCCTGTGTTTATATGCTCTGAGGAGTGACCCTGGAGTCTTCTGTGTATGAAGTGTGGACTCTACTTTTAAGTTCTCTATTTTTTAAAATACCCTTTCTTTCTTCCTTTTACCCAAAGTGACTAAATCTTTTCTTTTGTGATTCAGCTCAGCTGTAACTTTCTCAGAGGTCTGCCCTCCATGGTCCAGCTTCCCCTTGCATGTGGTCCCACACTCTAGCGCTGCATAACCATCTCCACCTTCTTTCTTAGTCCCATTGTTGACATAGGCACTTGCTCTCTCTCCCTTTCTCATGTCCTCTGTCGAATTTTCCTTTTTATATCTTTTCCAGCAGATTACTACATGGTTCTTGAGGTTCTACTTTGTATTCATGGTTCAGCATTTAACTTACTACTTGGCACTTAAACAATATGTAGATAATGAATTTGAGAGCCAGTACAAATTAACTAGCCAAAATAGAGAAGGACCTCATATAGGCTTGGCATTTGATAAGAGTGCTTTAAGTTGGAGTGTAGAACAGTTTTTGTGAAAGAGGATATATACCCGAGGAGATGAGAAGCATGTCAATGAGTCCTAAATTATCAGTATTTTTCTAGTAGCAGGAATTTCTGGGTACAATGGCTTGATTAAATTCTTTCTTGTCATCTTTACTGAAAAGCTGCCTGGCAAACAAAATGTTTTACTAAGCAGGTAGAAGCAAGTACAGAGGACTCATTATTTTCAATGTTTATTTGCATGAGACTTCTTTTTTAGTACCTGATTTCCTTTTCATTTTTTTAAACAAATTATCCAACCTGTCAGGTATTGGAATGCCTCAGCTTTCGTAGGGATGTGAATGAATGGGCAGTTTTAAGTCAAGATCTCTCTATTGGATGGCAGCCTTCTCGAGAGTCATGGAATTATTAAACTTTATAAAAGCAGAACTGGTCAGTGTGAGGGTGGAGACAGGTTTAAAAGCCAGAATTTTTAAGGAATGTAAAGAGTGGAACCTAGAAAAAGGTGTTAGTAGAAATAAGGTTTCTGTTTTTAAGTATTAAATTAGCACATGAGGCTTGAGTCACATTTGAAAATATTTTATTGATTTTGCTTAATATTAAAAGAATTTTTCCTGTGGCATTACCATAGATATTTACATGGTGCATCAAATATCTAGTCTTTGTTTTCAGTGTAACACAGCTGCACTGATAGACGCTTAGCAACACTCATAGTAGCAGTCATGTAAAGCTGTTCAAAAGAAAAAAGCTCAAGTCTTATTCTGAGTATTGTCCTCGCTATAATATTAATTTTTAAAGTGTTTTAAGATCTAACTAAAGTTCACTTTAGAATTGTTAAATTTTTGTTCTCTAAAATGAAACCTTAAGCATATGTTTCTAATCATTCAGTTAAAATATGCTGAGCTGTGTATTTTTAAAGAGAATCTGTTTTGAAAAGATTCCCAAATATTTGTTTGAACAGGCCCCCGGCATCTTGATGAAAACCGTTGGAAAAGAAAAACTTTTAAGAGTCATTCTGCTCCCAAAGTACCCAAGCCAGCTCACCTGGTACTGTTAACACTTCTGTTAAGAGACCAGGAGCCAAGCAACTTAGCACGTCCTGGACTGCTTGTCAGCAGGCCTTCAAGCCAGCTTAGTGGTTAATATTAATACCACTGACTTTTCAAAGCAGAAACTACAAGTAGAACATGTACATCTCTTTCGGCCAATATTATGCATATTAAGCCTTTTTAGTAACCTATGATTAGCTTCCATCTCTGCCTTATATTGGCAAACTTGAATTTTGGGGGGTACTTTTCTTATAAAGTAATAAGAAAAGGCCCCATAAAATATGTCCCCAAGATAATTAAACCCTCTCCCAAATATCAGTATTTATGTATTTGTAGAACTGTTAAGTGTCATAGTAGAGATGTAAATTAAATGCATCACAATGATTTGAGAGGTTCAATAATTTTATTAGGCTACCAAATGTATAAGTAGGGGTTACTTAGCCTCTTACTCATTTGCTTTCATTGCATCCCCTTGCAGTTTATTGATACCATTAATACATTCAGCAATAATGTGCTTGGTGTATATGTCATGTTGATCTTACATTTATTAAGCACACATTTACATATTGAGTTGATCTCTATAGATAGCATTCACCAAATTTAGATGATGTGCTGAAGAATAAAAAATAAAAGATTAAGAGTGTCTGTGTTAGCTAGACAAGCCAGAACTCATCGTGTGTACTACCATTTTCCTCTAATACCATAGATTTAGTTGGAAAAATAGCATAAATTGAATTTTCAGGCACTTGCTTTTTCAAGTGGTTCCCCACAAGAGTGGAGTAAAAATGATTATAATATTTATTTATTCATTTATACCAGAAATCAAATGCAGGACCTTGCACTTGCCAGGCTGGCGCTGTGCCCCTGAGCTATAGCCCCAGCCCCACCTTAATGTATTTTAAGCTTCTTTTGGAACTTAAGTCTGAAAGGGGTTATGGGAAACCAGTGATAAATCAAGCGGCTTTTTTCATTATTTGGCTCTGTGGATAATGTGAAACAGTGAATTATTTCCACTTTGGGACACAGTGTTGTTTGTGGCTTCAAAGGGTCTTCAGTGTGAGCAGGGAAATATATTCCTCCCCTGCAACTTTACTTGCTCTTTCCATTTTGGACAGTAAATTACTGTAAGCTTAGGAAGCAAATTCTGCAGTTAAAGGAAGAAATTGAAGTTGTTGACTGAAAATTGTGACTGAGAACCAGAACCTGTAGTGATTAGGACACATACACATAAATAATAGGATAATAATAGAGCATGCTACCAAGACCCAAGAAAAGTAGACAAGGGAAAGTATTTCTAGTGTCCCCATGACCTATTTGATACTATTTTGGGTAAGTCTTACAAGAGTAATGGCTGAGATCACTAGCCATGAGAACATGACTGAGAAAGAGGAACTTTGTTTATCATAGGAAGTAATTTTGGTCTATAAAGGAGAGATTCTTCAGTAGAGGGACATTTTTGTCTGAAATTTCTCAGATTTAGTGCCAGAGGCTTTTAGAGTCTAGTCAAAGCTGTTTCTAAGTTTCATTGTTGGAAAAATGATAGATGCTATATTCTTTTCTGTATTTCTTTTTAATACTTGTTTTTTAAGTCTTTTGTGTCATTCCCTCTATTGCCAAATTCTTAAGGTTTAAAAAATGTATCTTAAGTAAAAGTATTATGGAACAAAAGTTTTATTCTGTGCACAGGATAATACTTCTTTTGTAACATTTTCTTTTCCCACCAAAAGTGAATGCCGTGCCTTTGTGCATCTCATTTCTAATGGAGGACAAGAAGTTATTTTCATCAATGGCTGACTTCCAGAATTTTTGCCTGAATGTTTTTTGTCAAGCATATATTCCCTTCTTTAGGCCCTTCTATATAGAACCCACAAACATCGTCAATGTGAATGATGTCATTCAGAGGGTTAGTGACCATGCTTCTGCCTTGAACAAGAGGATTCATTACTACAGCCGGCTTTCCACTCCTGCAGACACGGCACTGGTAAGAGGCAAAGCATTACTCATTGTCTAAAGTTCAGCCGAAAAGAATAGCGAGCACCATGAACCGGGTGTCTCCCAGTGAGTGACCTTTCTGCTGACTGTATTCCAAGGACAGCATCATGCAGAGTCAAAGCTAGCAGTAAACATATATGCTACACTCTGGGCTGGTTCATTCTTATTTAGCTTGGCATAGAGATTTGAACAATTTCTCTGTTGTCAGAAGCCTGTGTTTTGTCTTGATGATTATTATTAAATTTTGCTTATCCCCAATTCCAAGATCTTTGAGGAAATAAGTTACCTTTGAGCTGTCAACCTAAATCATTGATTAAAAATACAAAATTATATGATTTTAGTTTCTTCTGTTCAGTTTTTTTGTTTTGTTTTGGTTTTGTCTTTTTGAGACAGGGTCTCACTATGCAGCTTAGTCTGGCCTTGAGCTCACTTTGCA